CACTTGAATGTCACTTTAACCAAAGCTACTCTTTAGTTTATGTTGGACTTTCAAAGCTACGTGTGCACCCTGCAGGTCAGGTTAACAGCCCCTTCATGCTGGGGAGAGGCTGATATTTGGCATTTTTTCATTAGCTGTTTGTTTAAAACACTACTTGCAGTTTACGTAATTTTATTTGTATTATGTTTACATGTATTAATGTTAAAATGCATCTGAGTAAGCTATTACTTACATATGTTTCATAGGTCATTTTAAGTTCCTTTTTGAGCTTTTAATGTTAAAGTAGAGACATTGGATATCAGGGTGACATTCACAGGTATGATGAACAGGTGAGGTGGAGCTGGAACAGGAGGTGAACTCACAGGAAGCTTAGATGGATGTTGWGACAAAAACAATCCTTGACTAATCGACTGAAAAAATAATTGCAGATTAGTCCACCAAAATAGTATCAAAATAGTCAGTTGCAGCCCTAGTATCGTCTTGTGAATGACCTATCTTGAATTGGGTTGACTCCAAATGCATCTATCGTGATACATTTTTGGAACTGAAACTGCTTCTTAAGGTTTTAATCTGAGTACCAACAATTTTTTTTTCTTCAAACATGCTTATTGAATGAAAACAGCTCAACTTGGAATGTGTCAATRAAGCACATGTGAACTCTTTACTGGAAGCTGTGAATGTTTAAAAGAGAAGTGATATTTGCCAACGAGAGAAATTGGAAAAAGTTCCTTTCGCACGCTGCTCTCTTTTAGAAACAAACGCAAAAGGCTGGATACAGGCATGTGGTGCTGAGAAAAGAACAAAAACGACAAAACCAATTCTCAAAAATAAGAGTTAAATGCCTGAAATTCCTAAAAAGAGAGTTTTCTGAGGGAGAAAACAAAGCCGTTTTCTTTTGCTGGGACTAAATGTCACCGCTTAGTTATAGAAAATATGTGGTTTTTAGTGGAAAAAGGCATTAAGTCCTCATGATGTCAACATTAAAGAGCAGAACTTTAAGGACCACAACTAGTGGATACTTGAAAATCTCTCTTACAGGGCTTATTTAGCAGTTAAAAGAAAACATGGTCRTATTTCTTYTGCTTCTTTAGACCAGTTTTTAAAGATCTTGATCAAAACAGGATATTTTCCCCCTTAAAAAATGTTTATTTTTCTCATGAGATCACTTGGATGTTTGTTTAAATAGTACATTTCTATTCTACAGAGCCATAACCGATGCCAAGAACTTTGTTTTTTTTTTTCTTAAATGGGTGTGACAGATTTGAAACAGAGACCATAACTGCAACAAATACAGATGATTCTGGCACAGGAAGAGTAGACCACAAAACAAGACTTAACCTGARTCTTCGATCCTCACGGATGCTGCCTCCATTTTCCCATCCTTCTGACAGAACATCACTAATTACTATCATTAACACAGGTGCTGAGGGACGTATTAAAAAAAGGTTGTAAAGGTTTGATGCAATGCTTTTCAGCGCAGAAACTCAGGTGATTGATGTGTTGTGTGAAAATTTCTGAGGAAATGTTAATAAAACTCATAATACTAAACACATGATCAACTAAAGGTCTTGATGGACTACATAGACCATCACAATTAGATCATCTTATGTTAACAAATAATGTAACATTATTATTTTTTCTTATTAAACYTTAAAAAATAAAATTAAATGCACTTTGACAGAYATTTCTGCCTCTAGGAAATAAACAAGATGACAATAAATTTCACTAAACCCTAAAAAATCTCTATTTTCTTTATTTAGACTAAAATGTATAGTTTTTAATGTTTTTTCCCCAGTTAGCAACTTCTAAGCCTTCAAGTTATCATTTTAATAGCAGCCATATTTCATACAGGGGATGTTTTCAGGCTAAATGTCCACATTTATGTCTGTCATACATTCAAACGAGACCATTCAACCACCTTCCAAAACATCCAACCTGCATGTAAAATTTGCTACTGCAGGACAGATAAAAAGAGCTGGAATTATAAAGTGGAAGTGGAAGGAGAAGGGTAGGGAGAAGGACGAGAGCTTTCTAGCAATGAAAGAGTCTGTCCGTTTGCTCAAAGTGCCTCTAATCCACTCTTAACTCCGTAACATGTGGGACAGTTTTGTAAAGAAGGTGCAGATAAGCAGCGAGGAGAAGCCCGTCCCCAAACAGCATCGCACCGTCCACGCGCTTAAAACACATTTATCAATAAACCAAAAAGAAAAAGGTCCATTTTGTGCGGGGAAACAATTTTAATTTCAGATATGGCTCCAGACAGAAACTGGGCCACTGCAAGCTTTGATGTCTTAATTTTGTGTGTGTGTGYGTCTGTCTCTGTGTGTGTTATTAATATGAAGAAGGCTTACTGATGAAACACCAGAGATGTAAAGGAAAAAGAGTGGAAACTGAGACGATGTGACAAAGACAAGAATTGAAAACAAATGAAAACGGGGAGAAAGGTCTGGAGAGACGGGACAGAGAGGAAAGTGACAAACGGAGGCAGAGCACACTTCATGTGAAAGCAAGAGTGACAGAGCTAAAGCCATTGTGAAATCCTTGTTGAATAGGCCCTGATGGACTGAACCACAGGGTCAAAGCTGGGCCTCTGTCTGCCGGAGCTGCCTGCTTTGAAAATTATAGTGTAGTTTGTGAGACATGATAGACAATCAGTCCTCAGGTTGGTTCATAGGGCAGCTGTTTAAGCTTGTAATTTGAAAGTGAACATGGAAATGGTGGCCTTTTTACCCTCTCCAGTTTCTGTACGCCACTTTGCAGTTTTTGTTTTGGTACTTTATATTCTCTGTGTGCAGCTCTTTTATGTTCTCGCCCGTATACCTATAATAACATTCGAGGCAGTGGGTGCAGTGTCCAAGAACAGGGTCTCAGGAACAGCCAAGGGAAAGACAACCTCCCTAATCATTAAGTCACTACCAGTAAAATTCACTAAAACATACACTACGCCATATTTAGATCATTTTAATTACAAGCATTTGTTTTATGAAGAACCATTAAAGTTACTGAAAATAAATGTTTTTTGATGTTTAAGTTATGTGGTCRTCATCAGAGGAGCTTGAAACACTCAGAAAAACGTTCTCATAATGCAAAATAAACAATTTGCCCAAACTGAACAAGTAAGCTTTGTCCATTTCTATATTTACCCTTTTTCCACTAAAGCTGTCCCAGTGTAGTTTCAGAGCCAGTGGCGGATTCTGATCCAGTTCTGTTTGTTTCGACTGCCAAACCAGCGACTCCCGGCCAGGACAACCACTGCTACTGTGGTACCAACTCKTTGCTGGCCTGATGTAAAGAACTGCTACCAATGGAGGGTGTTAAACTCTAAACTTTTCTCAATTCTGTCCTAAGAATTAAAATTTGCTGCAACAATTTTTGCTTCACGGGCAAGAATATGAATGATGTGTTGATGCATGTGAACATGAATGATTCAGATGTCATRAGARGAAAGAAAAGGTAGAAGTACRACGTGCCCCACCCTGACAGATGGTGGTGTGCACAGAACACAGCTGACCAAGACATACGTTGTGTCTCAATTCTGGGGTTGCGTCCTTCAAAGCCCACAATTGTCGGCTGCTTACATCACCGCGCCAAGGGCTGCCCCAAAGCGTGGGCTCCAGCTGGTGCGGCCGACAAMTGCGGCTAACAAAATCCCATAAATGAAGGCTGCATCCGAGTATCTTTCCTGGCCGAGGATATCCCAGGATCCATTGTGCTGTATGCTAACTAAACAGGAAGACGGAGGAGTTCTTCTTATTTTTTGTCAACAAGTCGGCATAGTTTGGAGATTCTTCACWGAACCAAGAATTAGTTTTTAACCTCTTAATCCCCAAGCGGTTTTCTTAAAGTTTTTGCTCAAAACACCATGYTGAAATGTAACTGAGTGTATCTCRGCATTTACAAACTCTACTTAAATAATATTGGTAATAAAATAAAGGTAACACTTGGAAGATTTCATCAGAAGTGTAAGTATTAAAACAGCTGCTGTGGTTTTAGAGAAATTTAAAAGATTTTTCACTCCTACCTGAATATTWTTTTCAGTTGACAGTATATAACCTGTTTAAAACCATAATTAATCAGGCTAAAAAAACTCTTGGAACCCATAAATCCACKTGTGGACATTACCTGTGCAAAGATTCATGCTGCTAAACCTAACTGGAGCAAAGTTACAGAGGTTTGAGTAAAGAAATAATTTTGCATTTTGTCATTCTGCACAGGACAGACCATGATGGTGCCATTCATAAAGGTTAAGAAATCTGAAGTTTTTACATCCAAAAGTTATTTATGTTTTTCTTATCTGCCTGAAGAGACTTATTGAATGTTTCTTCTTTTGAAAAATTATCCAAACATTTATTTGTGACCATATATATTATATAAAAATAATGAGAAATTATTTTTGACTTTACTTGGACCATATTCACTCAAAATCAAGTAAAAAAAACTTTCAACACACATTATAACCTATTTAGGTATCTGCTTTGACTTGCTTTTAAAAAATAATGTCAAACATTTTTCCTTTACACRTTTGCTTGGATGTATTTACAGATTTGCAATGACGCCATTTTTTGCAGTTTACTTTCTGATTCAACTGCTTGACGTTTGAACTGCGTTTGATGGATGTAAAATAGTTTCCATGAGCTTTTAGCCAAGATTCTTGGCTTTTTWTTGATACCAAACATGTCCAGGTTCAACTGACAGATCTTAAGTTAAAAGAAGTTAAAGGAAATAGAAAATGGAAAAAACAGTTTTGGGGCTCAAGAGTTAAATGCATGTTTAGCTACTTAGCTGATGAAATTCACGCTGCAATGAGATATTAWATAAAATGCAATTACAAGTACAGCTTCTGGAGATAAATCCTAAATGATTAATGTTTATTTATGCACCATTTTTATGAAGTTATTCCTTATATGTCCCAACACAAGTCTGAAAGCATGCGATGTAAAACCACTATGGTACTGGGGTAAGTGCATACAGGGTGTATGGGTGGATGGCACGGGTCTCACCTGGGGGCTTACGCTGGGCCCGTATCCCATGCCAGGTGAGTTCATAGAGTGAGGTCCCATGGGGGAGCTAATAACAGAGAACGGAGACGCCAGGCCATTCATCGGTGAACTCAGGGTGCTGATAGGAGAGTGCAAAGAGCCAGAGGGCCCCATGGAGGTTGGGCTCAGCAAAGGGGGGTGCATTCCTCGGTGGGATGTCGGCGAGCCCAGGGGAGATGAGGTCATCTGTCCCGATGAATCTGTTGGAAATAATCAGGGGGAAAAAAGCATTAGAAAAAAGCTTGAAGGATGTCAATATCAATATCACATTTCAAACTGAGACAGGCCAAACCTGAAGCCTTCGATTTCATCGTCCCCAATAAAACTTTAAAAACCATGTTCATGAATGCCCTTTTTTTTTAACTTAAGATGGCTGTTTTTACACTACAGCTAATTAAGAGGGTTTATTTTTTCCAAACCACAGCTGTTGGAACCAGAAGTCTAGCACATCTGGTGAAGTGTGAGAGCAGGTGTTAAATCTGAGCGCAGTCCAGGAAAAATGTACGATTCAGCAAGAACACCTGAAATAACTAAATCAGGATCGTTCCGTAGTGGAAAAACGCCTAAACCTAAAGCAACAACCAAGCRGGAGGCTCGCAGTATTGACACACTCTCCGTTCTGGTTCTGTCCCTGAAGCTTCAAAAGTGCCTCCTTCAGAATTGTAACAGGTCAGCATRTAGAATGTAGCTAYTGTATAATGCATGTGGTTGATGAGTGGAGYGGTAAACCCAGGAGATAGAAAAACATGACCTTGCACCACAGCTGAAGASGAACCTGCAGCGAGACTGAAGTCTGTGTGAGCAACAAGGCTAAGGTCAGGTGTGAAGGAGCCCGTCTTCCTGCTAAACTCAAGTCTTACTTCGACTTAGCGGGCTATCTTGCCATCAGCTGTCAACAGGGAAGACGCAAGACCGACTGGAACGTAAGCAAAGACGGACTGACATACCGAGACATTGGCAGCGGGGTTTGCATGTGTACCGATAACGGCTCCCTCCCTCCCGTGTCTCCTTTCAGCGCTGCTGTTCGCTCTCTCTTTCACCCCCTGTCCTTCGTTTTGTACTCTGATCCTCTTTCTTTGTTTACGTCATTTTTTGCAGGCACTTTAATTTTTCAAATGAGGGCCTAAACAAGCGTGTTGCAGGTCTTTCGGACTYAGATTCTCACAACTTAGAAGAGAGAAAAACTCTTGAACTTTTATACTTAAAAAGAATTCTTGAAAAGCACATCACCAACTCATTAGTAAACTCAAACTGCCCCATCCAATAGTTCAGAACAATGTTCTTTATGTTCATTTTCCTTGTTTGCAATGAGTACCTTTTATCCAAATAAAATGTTTTAAAGAGGCAAACCCTAGACGGATGCACAGAAAGATAAAAAAATCTTCCCATCTCACCGTTTGTGCACTCCCTGGATTATAATAAATGTCGTTGCAAGCAAAAACACAGATAAACACCCTCTATATCTTCTGGAAAAACAAACATTCTTCTTAATAAAAGGCTAACAGCAGCCCTACATGCAGATGAATTAGTTCAGTGTTTAATCTTCCRACTGATACGCCATGAGCTTCTGTCCATCTGATTACATTTTTTTCACTTCAACATGTGCCCACACACATAATACCTTAATACTTTAAATAAAAAAAAAACTCGGTGAGCAGGCAATTCCCAGAGCAGTGCATCAATTGGGTTTTAATTCAGGCAGATAAAGCGAGCTGTGGTATTAGGGTTGCCAATCTGCCATTGTAGGTCTCAGCAGGGGGATTTGGAAGGGCGGGGGGGAGCTTAGCTGACAGCAAGGCCCCACCTGGAGGGGGATGACAGAGACAAGCTGGGAGGTAGAGCACTCTGCTTACGTCTCTGTTTCTTTTATTTATCTTTCATGTCTTTTCTTTTTTTGTTTCTGCAGAGCAGAATTTTGCCCATTCTGAGAAGGTTTCTCTCAAAGGATGTAGCTGTATTGTACATAGATGGTGCTTTTTGGTAAAAATTACCATAAAGTAGAGATTTTTGAAAGCAAARAAATCCCCCAAAAAACGTGTGTGTTTTGAGTATTTGTGTATGTTTATTCTTGTTGGAGCTGGATTTCCAGTGTCGGATTACAGCTGGATATCAAGGATTCTGTCGTAATCCTCTATGGAGTGGAAAGGAGAGGAGAAAATTAGATAAGTCTAGGCGAGGAGAACAAAAAAAGAAAAAAGAAACAAAACTATTAGGATAGTTGAATAAACAACCTTTATTCAACCAATGTTTGTTGCAACCTGTTGAACTGGAAAGTGTAAAAACTGTCCCGAGAACCCGACAAGCTCTGGCAGGGTTATGCCAAAGAGAATAAAATAAATGAGTTTGCACGATTAGATAAGAGTAGCAGTGAAACTAAATCAATAGGAGAAGGCCAGGAGAAAAAGGGTTTACATTTAAATCATTCAAAAAAAAAAGTCACGAGTGTCAGCACAGATAAAAAGCTGAATCAGATTTAAATGAACGCTGAAAACGTCTTTGTCGCCTGCAGTCACCGCCTGTCAATTGCTCTCAATCTCGGCGCACAAAGCACAAGTGACAGCTACAAATAGGCAAATTAGAGCCCATCTTACAGGCAGGCGCGAGCAGAGTTCACCACTTATCGCCTCTCCACTTCATTCAAGCATCTCCCGTTTCCAAACAATGCCTCCACTCTCTCACTCTCGCCTTTTTCTTGCTCTTTTGTTCGGCTTTTGGATGTGATTACATGGAGGAAAACTGCCAATTTAAGCTTGGGCTCCCGGAAGCTTGTGTGTTTAGAATGTGATAAACGGAAAACGCAGATGAGAACAGATAGGGAGATGAAACGAGACAAGAACACGAGGCATTTCTCCATGTGCCGGAACGGATTGTTTACATGTCTCAGACGGGGGAATGGATGAAGTTCTGATTAATGATAACTTTCCAGAAATATAACATTTGTACTAAACTGTTTWGGTCTGTTTATGCCTCATGTGGTTTGATTTCATATTGGGAAAGACATGATTGGTGCTAGCCAACCAATGAATGACTTGTCTACTCTGGTTATGCCTCATGCCTGGTTCACACGGCAASATTTCACAATTGTCAGCTGACTTTCATAATATAACAGGTTTAGTGTGTGGTGTGCAGCCACATGGCAAAGATAACACACCAACAGATTTCATTCACCAACAATCAGATGTCAGACTCACACAATATCCATTATTACCTCCGCCTATCTGTCTGTCCGTCTGTCTGTTGTTCTGTCGTTCTGTCTTTGGACACCATTACTCAAAAACTTGTGGACAGATTGTCATGACATTTTTACTACATGTGGGTACTGGGCCAAGGAACACACC